TTCAGAGCCTGCTTCTAGCGCACCCTGGCTGGGTGCATGGGGGGGAGTCACTTAATCTCTTAGCACACTAGAAAACTCCCAATTACCATACTATTCAGACAAGTTTGCGATCCACATCAATGTAGGGAATTTTCACAGAAAAAATTCCTTCATGTCCATAGTGAACTAAAAAGTAAGAAAAAAATGTTTTTAAAGAATTATAGAGGGGCAGCTAGGTGGCGCAGTGGATAGAACACTAGCCCTGAAGTCAGGAGGACCTGAGTTCAAATCTGGCCTCAGAGCAAACACTAGACACTTACTAGCTGTGTGACCCTGGGCAAGTCACTTAACCCCAATTGTCTAAAAAAAAAAAGAATTATAAATGACTGTGCTATAGATCAGCAATATAAAACAAATATCTTTGCTCTCAATTAACTTATAGTCACCAGTCAGAAGAGGGAGGAGTGTACAATATACAAAGGTAGATAAAAGCAAGGAAATCTGAAGAGGGAGAGAATACTAATGACCGCAGGGACAAGAAGAAAAGATTCATCGGCAATATAATGTCTGACCTGAGCCTTCAAGAAAGGTAAAGATCCCTTGAGGTGGGGGCAAACAAGGATCTATTTATCATTGCATTGTAGCAAGCAGGACAGAGGGTGCAAATACACGAAAGAGGGAGATGGAATGTTGAGTTTGGGAAATGCTATTAAGTCTGGATTGACTGGAACATGGTGTGCTTGAAAGGAATGATGTAAGAGAAGAAAAAGCAGGAAAAAATTTCCTGGAGTATGATTGTGAAAGACAATGGAATTTGTATTTTAGCCTGACACTTTTGCGGCATCATTATCTTCATACGTGATCTCCCAAGTCTGGGTCTTGCATCCTTTTCTCTTCTTTCTACATACTCCCTGAACTAGAGTCCTCTTCAACTGCCATAATTCCAATGATTGATCCACTCTTTGCAGGTGACTTCCAGATCTCTACACCCAAGCTTCATCTCTCTCGAAAATTCTAGCTATATGTTACCAATGCCTTCTTGGAATCGTCAATGGATGTGCTTTTGATAGATAGAATCCAAAGTGTCCAAAACTGTACTCATCACTTTAAACCTAAAGTCTTTCCCTTGTCCAGACCCACTTATTTTAGTTGGTGGTACCACCATCCTCCCAGTCATCTATATTCATATCCTCAGAGTAATCCTTTCCTCTGCCCTTTCCCTCTCCCCCATATCCAACCAATCATGAAACCTTGTCGGCTCAATTTTCACAGCATCTCTGGTATCCATATCTCTTTTTCATTCACATAGCCATCATTCAAGCTTGCATCATCTTCACTGAAATGATTGCAATAAGGGTGGCTAGGTGGCACAGTGGATAGAGCACCAGCTCTGTAGTCAGGAGGACCTGAGTTCAAATCTGACCTCAGTCACTTGACACTTCCTAGCTGTGTGACCTTGGGCAAGTCACTTAACCCTGATGAGATTATTTTAAAGAAAAAATTAAAACAACAACAAAAAAGCAATGATTACAATAGCTTCCTAAGCTCTTTCTTTGTTTTTATTTTTCTTTCCTCCAGTCAGTTCACTACTTAACTTCCAAGAGTAAAGACTTTTATAAGTTTTTTTTTTTTCTGAAACCAACAATGTCACCTCTTGCTGAAAAAAATTCACCCACTCCTTGCTCCTTGGCTAAAATACAAATTCCATTGTCTTTCACAATCATACGTCAATGTAATTTTTCCTGCCTTTTTGCTCTGGAGTTACTGCCTTTCAAACACACCATGATGCAACCACATTGTTCTTAATTGTTTTTCCCAAACTCAACATTCCATCTCCCACCTTCATACCACTTGCACACCCTGTCCTGTTTGCCTTTAATGCAATGACAGATAGATCCCCATTTCCCTCCATTTCAAAGGATCTTACTCTTTCTTGAAGGCTCAGCTTAGAAACAAAATTACTAATGAATCTTTTTCTGATCCCTCCAGTCTGATGGGTATTAAAAAAATCCTGGAAAAGGAAGCAATTGAGGGAGATAATTACAGCCACCTCCTAATCACACAATTTGTGAAAGAAGTAATTTCAAATGAAATTCTCAGGTAATAGAAATAAAAAATATTTTAAAAATAATTTTTCATGTATTTACAGTTTCATATTCAGGCTACAGACTAATCAACCTTTTCAAATTTCATTTTGGTGATTTTTTTCCTGAAAACAATAAATGAAATGAAGTCTTGGGTGATTAGCTGGATAAATCTATTTTTAAAAGCCAATTTAATGTTTTCTATTGGAGGAAATGAAAATTCACATGAGGAGTCAACTGATAATCAATAATCACTGATAAAGGAAATACAAAGTATTTTCCTTGTGAAGTTCACCAGGATGCCACTTTTCATTAAAAATCTCAAAAAGAGATGAATTACATGAATTACAAAGTCCATGTACTAAAGACTACTAAATTATAAGCCTGTCAGTTTCACTGAGACATACTTGGTCAAGAAAAATCTCAGGTCAACAAACTAGTTATGGTCTTTTATTCAGTCATTCAACAAATGACAATTATTATATTGAATGCTTCTCTTATTCTGAGTCTGACTTAAGTTCACCAAGATAGGAACTAAGTGGAAAATATATGACTATAGGAACCAAGAATAACAAATATTAGAAACAAAAAGAATATTGTAAATGATATCTTTTTATCTTTCGTCAAACACTACGTGAATAGAAGATGGCTGGAAAAACTGGCGGACCTAAAAATGGCATAATATTTATCATCAATTAAAAATGAAGCCTCTTTTCCTTTGGAAAAATGTCATGCTCTTTCAAAATACCAATCCTGTGCTGTCTTAAGGACGTTCTTTCATTTGCTTGTGAAAAACTCCACAAAAAATGGTCAGTTCCCAGTAGGTGACCCATTGGTGGCCTATGGAACCCACACCTGACTAGAACCTGGATACATCCAATTCCTTTTCCGGTTGGTTTTCATCCCCAGTGAAGAGCAGGGTGGTCTTTTTTTCTGCTAGTAATCATTTATTGATAATCTATACCCATGAGAAGTTATTGATGCAAGCAAAGAGAGAATTCTTAAAACCATCTCAGTTAATCAGATAAGAGCCTATGGTGACTGTTATTTTCCAATATGTGCTGGTTCAATTTCTGGATCACAGAGTTTAGATATTCATGCCTGATTTTAATAGAATCATAGAGAGAGTTCACTAACAGTCTGAGGAGAACAAGTCTTTTAGCCAGCTATTTGAAGAGAATTAAATTGCTAATAGACAATCCGAGGAGAGCCCAATTTGTTTAGGGGTTTGAGTGGTCTTGAAGAAGGGACTTGCTCCCAAACTTTAGGGCACCACGTGAGGAGGCAAGGTAGAAGCTGATAAACAAGAAGAGAGAAGACAAGTGTGTGACAGAGGAGTTGACTGTAATGAGACAGGTAGAATCAGAAGGTGGTGACGGGAAGAGCAGCTCCTTTCTCCCTTGGTTTTGCAGAGCTCAGAGGTGACTCTGACTTCTGGTTCAGCTGCAGCGTTCTGCATTTTATTTACTTGTTTATTCTCTTTTTTTTTCTTGATGCTGTTAATAAATTACTTGGTCACTAGCAGCGAGGTGTCTAATTATATTAAGTGTGTTGTTTAAGAAAAAGGAATCCAGTCCATAGTATAAGTCTTATTCCAGAATAGGGACTGAGCCAATTTGAGGGAATTTTCTCAGTTTTTGAAAATAACCCTGAGCTTACCCACTAGGTTACTGTAAAACCAGGTAGGAGATAACTAATAAGGAAGGGTTGTTATTGTTGTTTGTCTTTTGTCCTCGAAGAGGACCATGGCAGCAGAAACATAATGCCACAACTTAAAAGTGAATTGGATTTAAGTAAGGGAGGGCTGTGCAAAGTCCCCAGCCTCATTTTCTCTTCCAGTGTCATCTGGGTCCAGTGGCAAGATATAAATCAAGATGACTGGACATGACTCTGGATGCAGTGGGAGGAGACCTTGGCCTTTTTAAGGTAAAGTCTTTCCCAGGTTTCAGTTTGACTGAGGCAACACCCATTCAGTGATTAAAGCTAGGTAAGAAATGAGGCAACCTATTTACCTATTCAAAAAAAAATCAATCTGGGAGGGGAAGACCCTTAGCTTTTCTGGCCAAAACAGAAACAATTGCTATTTACACTTACTCTGAGCCAATTTGGGTCCAAACAATGACCACTAAGTGGGGCTCAGGCAGGGACCTGTTGTTAGCCAATCAATGAGAGCCAGAGTGAATTGGGTTTAAGGCATAGTTCTTAAGAAAAAAATCTACCTATAAACAGCAAGGTATCTTGCCAGGTTTCAGAGGTCAAAATTTACATTTTTTGGGCACAGCACCAAAAGGTAAGGGTATGATACCCTATGTGGACAGAGGGAGAGGGGAGAGGAAAGAGGAA